ATGATAATGGAGTTAGAGTAGTAAACTTTGCCACATCAAAAAATCTTACTGCCAAAAGTACGGTGTTCCCACATCGTAACATCCATAAATTTACTTGGACATCTGATGGGAAGATACACAATCAAATACGCCATATTTTGATAGATAGGAGAGAGCACTAAAGTGTACTTGATGTCCGATCATTCAGGCCAGCAGATTGTGATACTGACCACTACCTGATGGTGGCAAAGGTTAGGGAAAGACTGGCAGTGAGCAAACAAACAACACACAGAGTTAATATGGAGAGGTTCAATCTCAAAAAATTAAACGAGGTAGAGGGTAAAGAGCAGTATTGTGTTGAAATCTCAAATAGGTTCGCAGCTTTGGAGAACTTGGGCACTGAGGTGGATGTTAATAAAGGTTGGGAAACTCGTAGAGAGAATATAAAAATGTCTGCCAAAGAGAGAGTAGGTTATTATGAACCGAAGAAGCATAAGCCATGGTCCGATGAAGGATCCTCAAAAATATTAGATCAAAGAAAGCAGGCAAAATTGCAATGCTTACAGGATCCAAGCGAGTTAAATGGCGATAATGTGAACAATATAAGACGTGAAACCAGCAGGAATTTCAGGAGCAAAAAACGGAATATCTGAAAGACAATAAAATTGATGAGCTTGCAATGAACAGTAAGAACAACAACATTAGAGACCTGTATAGAGGAATAAATGACTTTAAGAGGGGTTACCAACCTAGCAGTAACTTAGTGAAGGATAAGAATGGTGATCTGTTTGCAGATTCCCACAATATTTTGAATAGGTGGAGGAACTACTTCTCTCAGTTATTCAATGTACATAGGGTCAGTGCTGTTAGGCAGACAGAAATCCATACAGCTGAGCCCTTAATACCTGATCTTATCCCTTTTAAGGTTGAAAGTGCTACTGCAAAATTGAAACGGTATAAATCGCTAGGTAGTGATCAAATTCCGGCAGAACTTATTCAAGCAGGAGGCGAAATATTCCGTTCTAAGATCCACAATCTAATTACGTCTATTTGGCATAAGGAAAAATTGCCTGATCAGTGGAAGGAGTCTATTATTGTACCAGTTCACAAGAAGGGTGATAAAACTGACTGTAGTAATTATCGGGGGATATCACTGTTATCAAATTCATATAAAATTTTGTTCAATATTCTTCTTTCAAGGTTAGGTCCATATATAGATTAAATTATTGGGGATCATCAGTGTGGGTTTCGATGTAACAGATCAACTACAGATCGGATCTTTTGCATTCGTCAGATATTGNCGTAAAAGTAAGGTCCGTGTAGGTAAACATTTGTCTGATAAATTTCCTATCCAGAATGGTCTAAAACAAGGAGATGCTTTATCGCCACCCCTTTTCAACTTTGCCTTAGAATTTGCAATTAGGAAGGTCCAGGGAAACCAGGTGGAACTGAAATGAAACGAGACACCTCAGCTGTTGGTCTGCGCAGATGATGTGAATCTTTTTTTTTCCTTGGCACTACAGCCCCACTGGGCCTAGGCCTACCTCCATGAACTTTTCCGTTCACTTCGGTTTTTCTAGATCTTACACATTCGGTAGGACTCCTTGGGCCGGTGATCAGCTCGTCGCAACGTCTCTC